GTAATTTGTTTTTGAGTATAAAATGTGATAAAGAGGGGTTTTTATATGATGTGATTATAGAGAGGGTGACTATAGAGAGGGATGACTGTATTATTTTCATTCAACCAATGCTTATAGTTACCCAATACCTTTTTAAAAGATTTTTGATAATTGATAAATGCTTCTAATATTAGTATTTATCTATAGCCAAATCAATTCTTAAACTTAAATTTCTACTTATTCCCTCTAAAACATTTTATTTTACATTATTGACCCACTTCAATTTTTTAAACTTAGTTCTTATTTTTTTTTTTATTCCTATATTACCTTAATATTAAATTGGCAATTAATTCTTTACAGATCTAAATTTCATCAATTTTTATACAAATAAATAGGGCCCCAACTTGGCCTAATCCATTCTAACTAGCTTTACTATTGTTAGGTCTGTAGAATACAACAAACTTAAAGAAAATTTTGGAAACAGTGCAAAAATAATATACCTATAATAGTATTATTAAAAATAACAAAACTAGCTAAAATATGAGTTCCTAGAAAATTTTAAATATATATTTTTTTTCATATTGGCTTATAATGTTCATAAAATGTAAGAATAGAAATATAATAAAAACATATATTTATTATTATACTAATCTAGTTCACTTTCCACCAGTAATATAAAAGTGCCATTATTATTAATTATTTTTTGTTCATATCTGGGGTTAATACCAGTTTGTAAAATAAATAGTTGTTGGGCCATATCTTTTTTTGCATCTAATTTTGCAAGACCACAAGGTTATTAGGGTTATTAACTATCAAAAGATAGCTGCAAAAATCATATAGCTTCTCTCAAGTTAAATTTTCTGGTCAATATATAATCATTAAAGTGTTAGATAATCATATAAGAAGAATTCATTTCTGAAACATCTGGTCTTTTTAGCAAAGACCAATTTTTGTTACCTTCTTAGTATCAATTTGTTGAAGAGAAATATGGAGATATATGCAGGTGTATCAATATTTATAGCCTGTTTATCTTTTTCAATACCAATTTTTTTATCCCAGGATTGGTATTATTTGTGATAAGAACTTCCAATTCATTTTTCAGCTAGTGAATGAATTTATCTATTATTTTCTCTTCTTGCTTTGCCTAGTTAGTATGACTTTTCTAAATCCCTAATTCTTTAGTTATAGTTTTTTCTTCTAGAGGGGTATTACTTATAGAGCTACTGTTTAGTATAACATCTACTTGGAATTCTTCATCATTTAAACTTTCTTATTCTAAGAAAGAGGAATACCCTAAGTCAGATGACTCTTCAACATTTACATGCTCAGAGCCATTTTCTTCTTCTGGGTTTTCTATAGCTTCTTTAGATATAAAAAGTTCCTAGTTCATCTGAGTGATGTTAGACAAAAATTTCTCTTCACTTTGAATAGCTACAACATTATCCACTAAGTAGACTTTATCTTGAGAAAGGGATATTGCATCAACCTCTTGTTTGTATTTCTACTATTGATAAGCAATATAGGTATAGTTAGACCAAAATAATCTTTAGTCTAATTCTATTTTAAAGTCTCTTAGTAATTGCTTATATCCTTGTTCTTTTCTAATTATATTCACTATCTCACTTTTATTTATTTCTACTGTACTCCATTCTTGATTATTTATTACTTCGTTCCCTTCATAATCTATTTCTTCTTTACTATTTTTGTTGTCATAATTTTTTTTGCTATATTCATCTTTATTTGAATAGTCTTCTTCATATTTGTCTTCACTATTGTCACTTATATATATTATCACAATTCTATAAACTTCAATAGCCTTTTTTAGTTGATTTTCTTTTTCTCACTATCTACTTCTAGAAGGCAGAACAAAGTATCTACATCTGAATGCACCTGCCACTTCTATACTCAATCTTATAAATATAGGGTTGTAGCTAAAGAATCTATCTGGCCCTTCTATCTTTCAATTTGAATATCTCTAACCACTTAAGAGCTAAATAGTTTGTAACTAATATAAAAGATTTAATATCTAGATAGTAGTGAAAAATACTCATTGCCTCAAATTACTGTGAGGCATTGCAACTCGTGGTATAGTAATAATTTTTTTCATTGCTCAAACTTCAACTAGCATAGACAAATATATGTTTTTTATTATTCTTTTCTTTTTGGATAATATTGCCCCAAGACCTAAATCTGAGGCATCAATATATAAATATAAAAGTTTTTTGAAGTTTGAATACTATAGTATAGAAGCTATAATGAGGTGATGCTTTAGAGTTTCGAATGCTTTATATTGAGGTTCTTTTCAAACTATGAGATATCTTTTTAAAGTAATTGATATAAAGGCTAAACCAAAGAGAAGAAGCCTTTAATAAACTGTCTATAATATAAAGAGAGACCCAAAAATTCTCTTAATTAATGCAAAGCCTTTGGCATCAGATATTTTTGAACTTTAATGATTTTTTGATTATCAGGTTTAACCTCATTATTGCTAATTACATGATCTAGAAACTTTAATGACTTTTTATAGAGTAATACTTTTCACTCTAGATAATCTAGATATTTTCAAAAGGTATTATAATAAACTATAATATCTTCTAAATATACAGTAATAATTGTTTCATATTGTCCCTTAATATATAATTCATCAATTTCTGAAACATTGTAGGGGCATTACAGAGACTGAAGGGCATGACATTTAGGGTTGCGACCCAAACTCTTTTTTTTAATTACGACATTTCTACTTAGTTTGGGTTTGGGAATCGGTATTTCTACC